ATATGTTTCTTTCACATAGTAATAATAGGCTTCTAGCAAAGATTGTACAAAAGACAAGTGGATGTCACGTTTCAATGTTGAATATATATAAATTGATCGTAACTTGTTTGATATGTTTACAATATGTTTAATGTCGGCTCACTCTGAATAACGATTTAGTGTGTATGCTTCGTATCACATTGATTATAAAGTACCACACATCTTGAAGGGGAAAATGTGTAACACTGATTTAAGCTGGAGAGATAATGTTACATGTTAGTGTAGAAAGTATGTAACATTGCAGATATCTAATACCAGCAGCAATATCTTGTACAACCGTGAATATCCCGTTACAGTGTGAACAGCCTGTATTAAAGTGAATATCACTCTTCATATTAGACATGGATGTATTAAGTTTATAAGTGAATGATAATGATGTTTCATAGTTGATGATATATATAACTTTACAGTACCAAACTATGTATTATTTCTCAAGCAGGTGTTTATTCATTATTTTTGAAAAGATTAAGATTTATTACGTAGCCTGTAAGGAATATATTGTATTTTTCTTTATCAATATCAACCATACTATAAATTGTTCCACAAAAACGGGTATAACAGTGACTATGTATAATAATGTCTCATATATTCAGATATATACTATATTTTGTTTAAGAGACAACAAAACGTCGACTATCGTGTTTAAAGTTACTGAAATATAGAATATTTAATAAAGTGTAGTTGTGTTTCAATACGAGAGCATTTAAGTATGGAAATACAGATTGTGATATAAAAACACCATTACTATACGCAACTGCAGTGTGATGATCACTGTAGTGTGGTATTAAATTTCAAATAGCAAGTCCTGATGAAGGGTTAGAATGAAAATACTGTAAGACTTGTTCAATAGATAACTTATATACAATAGATACCACCATTTGATAAGATTTAAGTAATATATACATTTTATGAGAAGTAAGGATATTAATAGAATGACATTTTATACGGCTGATTCTGTTCACGTACCAAATGTGTTAAAAACTTAATGGGGAAGTACGGAAATCACACTCAACCCCAATAAATATTAAAATATATTAGTGAAAGTGAGCTTACCTTGTAATTTATTGGTTTAAATTATGATGCTAAATATATTTTAAAATAACATTATACACATATGTTCCGGTTTCACTATTTGTAAAAAATAGACGTTGTGTGCATCATACTACAGACGTTGATAACGGAATATCCTCTTTGTAAATATATTTCCTTGATACGACTCTTTTGATTAATATCAGCATGCAATGATACATCACACCATCCAATAGTTTTGTACTTGAGATAATATACTCTATTCTATATTTATTTTGTATTTTAAAAAATGTTTTGCTTGTGTGTCTTCGTTATGAATCGTTAACATATACGCATGTGAAAAGTTATATTGTTTAACCACCTTTGAATATAATCAAAGGCTCCTTATTGCAGTCTATGTTCGTTTAATGTTAAAATTATGTTAACTATTTAAGGTATAATTTTATGTTGTTGGTTGAGGGTTTGATGCTTGTGTAAGTACTCAAGACTATGGTGTATGATATTATTTATCCCTTCAGTAAATTCCCTGAAACTGTGATAAGATAACGCACATAATTGAAAAAAGTTGCAACCACTTGTGACTGTAAATTGCTTTAACCAATTTGTTGCTTTCGTATCTATGTAAATGATGACCTGCCGAGATTAGGTACACATCTTACAGACCACAAAATGCATTGTTTCAACTACAGCAGATAATTTGCGCACCCACTCATGTGATAGTTTTCGTCACCGCGCCTTAAACATACCCATCCCTCCACCCAGTTGCTAATCTCTTTTTTATCTGAGAAAAACGGTGGTTTAATTAAGTGTTAATTATGTTTTTTTAACCAGAAATTGACACTCGACTGTAATCACCCCACTGCCACTTGTGTTTTAATGCTGTACCATATCGCCAGTATTACGTGCGTACTAAATGTCCCCTTTGACCTGTCCAGGATTCCTTATGCATTTGTGTTTATCATGACAAAAAAATGTTTTAAATGTTTTGTTTTTTCTGATGATCATTTTTATTTTGACGCAAAAAAGTCATTTTATTATTTCAATGACTCATTATATATAGAAGGAAACTACATAACCAGTGAATATTATTGTTTGGCCAGTACGACATACGGGTTAAAAGACTTCACAATAATTGGTATTCACATCAAAATTCAACTAATAACGTTATGTCTATATTTCGTGAATTTCATTAATCTACAATGGGTATGTTCTGCACACTCTGGTATAGTATTCCGAATACAATGTTCCCAATTGAAACATCGCCTGGCAAACACAAGAAGTGTTTCTGCAATGAATTTAAAAAATATGCCGAGGTTTTACAACATAAATTAATAAATGTTCGCCGATTTGGTAATAAAAGAAGTAATGACCAGATATTTAATTGGGATATTTTAATGCTGATTCCTTATTCCTAAAATAAAAATCGGGTTCAGATTGTGTTTATTACAATTATAGGTTCTTGCATAATTTCGTAATTTTCTTAACTGCTTAATGGAAAATCGACTTGGCAACGAAAGCAGATGCAGTTGTTCATCTTCTTAAAAATGTCTGGTAATATATTTTGTATTGTTACAAAATGGATATACTGTCCATCGAGTGTGAAATACAAACAGCTGTTTTACATAAGTATGTGGTTTACATTACCTTAAGTGCTTACATGATATCGTGGAGTGTCTACCCTGTGTTGGCCTTAGGCACTGAAGTTCAGGCTTAAACAAAGTTAACATATTTTCAACCCAAAAAAATATATATTCCTCACATATTATCATTTGCACTCGATGAACTGTGATTCTGAACATTTGCACATGGACTAGATACAGAACATCCCATCATGCTTTATAGAAATTCATGTTATAACAATATCGGTAACACTGTGCATATCATTAACTCGGGTAGAAAAATAGATAATTTCTAGTAATGAATATATTATATGCGTATCTTTCATTAAAAAATATTATTTACTATTCTGAAAACCTAACATATGTGACATATAATTGATGTTTCAGCGTGACAACTTTTTATAACAAAATAGTAAATATATATTTCAATCTTTACCCAAACAAGATCTATCTAATGTAATTATATCTTAAGTCATGCTTAAATAGTGTGATGAACATTGTTTGATTACCTAATTGTTTCACGCGCTCATTAAGTTAGTTATTAATTAGTATTTCCGATTGATATAAATCTAATATATTTATTGATCTGTTTACTTCATATAATTATTTACGGATCTAATGTGTATGTTGTTACAATGAATCCCTATTGGTAGAGTACTGACGTATCAAGGAGTCTTGTAAAATAATTTGTTTGATATTTATACAGGAAATCGATTTCAAATGTAAATTATTTTAAAGACTCAATTTATCAAAATATACTTAAAACGTCTATTAAAATTCAAATTTAAAGAACACACAGGGTGATTTAAAGCGGAATGTTGTGTATCAAAATATGATATCATATCATCGAACATCGCCCTATGAGGATCAAATCAATGATAGATGTTTGCAGGGTTACATTTAATGTTTACCTCTTCTAAGTGACACCAAAACCAGTGAAACTTAAATATTCATTAGGTTGTAACTACAGTTAGAAAAACGTATCAAGAATTGACAAGATCTTTATATAAATTATTTGAAAACATGATGCCCTATCGTAAAATCAAAACTCAATATATGCTGCCAAATGTTCATAAAGGACATATATCGGACTAGATTCGGTATAAATCAATTAAACAGTGGTATTAACGAGTTTAAAATAGACTTTTAACAAATTACATTATCTACATATATGTTGTTTATGAAATAAATATCGAATATAAACTATTTAGATAAATTCGATAAATCAATAAATCATTCACCTTCTTTATTTGTGATATCATTTTAAGTTTCTTTATCTTTATTTTAATATCTTGTGCACGACAAAACTTGACTCTTGCATCATAAATTATTATTCAGTTTGGTTTTTATCATTTTTTGTCTTTAATAAAAAAATACAATAATGCATATGAAAACAATTGCTTGGTTTCCATCATTTTTCTTTCAAATCGGAGAGCTAAATTATTTTTTATTGAATTCTTCTTGTTTTAAACATATCTATGTATAGAGATACCATCAACTGGGTCATTTTAATTACAGGATTGTGATATACTACCCGCTTAATTCATCATGTAAACGCTTTGATTATCCTCTAATACTATGTCTTCAAGCGTCTTTGTGATGGCGTTGTGAAGACTTGTGTGTGTATCTGAGTGAGCGATGATACGTAAATGATACCCAGTCTATCAACAAAGGTCACCTTAGGTCAACGCCATTCGTTAGAATCGCCCTGTGTAAATCACGATGACCTAGGCTAGACAACGTACTGGTATGCGTGGTTTGCAATCAGTATTAATTGAATGCCCAGTTAAAGATTACCTTGAAATCTATCTGTCTCAGTCACCTAAGTAATTATCTCGGGTAATTAGCATCTGAATTTAACATATGTTCAATATTATAACTACTAGATAATTCTTAACACAGGTTGTGTCCAGCATTGTCCATTCCGAGATAACTACGCACATTTGCTTAATCCCTATCCTAAATTTTTAATGCTAACTACTTAATCATTTGATTCATGAAAAAATATACAAATGGATTTAAAATTACCGAAATAATTATATCTAAAACCTACAATTTGATATAGAAACTGTTAACTGAAATGAATAATGATACACCATTACTGAATTAAATCATACAAAAAATACATCTTAATGTTAAGTTCTTTACAGAAAAAAAGGAAATCGAAATGTGTTAATTTGAAAGAAAAATACCTAATTTTCTTTTTAAAAATCTACAAAGGGAATTGTATGCATTTTATTATTATTAGATATATGAATATGCTAATGAGCCGAATTATTGTGAATTACATGAATATGTAAATGAGCTACTTACCACCATAGACCTATGATATTGGTTGGACACAGCAGATAAAAGTATACAAATACAAGTACTCCTTGAACTTGCATGGTTTGACATGCAATGGTCGTGCGTCTCTCGTGAGAATGGCTGGACTGATCGCCGCCAGTAATTGTACCGGAATCGATATTACGTAATTCTTATTTCCAATTCCCAAGGAGAAATAACACCATGTCTTTGTTGGTGGTTCCAAAAGTAATTCAAGAACAATTCCATACGTGTAACCGTTTACCTATAAAGTTCTCACTGATACACACATACATTCCATTATATACATGCATGCAAGAAAGAGGCTTGTTGCAGTTTATTTGGGAATGAATACTAACAAAGTGCGTATTGGGAGAGCAGTTACCACGTACTTGTCAATCAGTTCCAATCACCCTTGTTCTAATAACCACAACAACAGAGTGTACCGGCGTGTGGCAGCCTACCCCGGGGTGAGGTTGTATGGACGGCGATCCAAGGACGGGCCTTACTCTCGCATACATTTCCTCATTTCCTAGTCTAACTTATAGTAGGCTAGCAGTAAAGGATAAATGCTCACTCCATACGGGTAGTTTTGATGTACTACATCCTCTAAAATAGTGTGTTTGGGTAGCCGGTGCTCCAGTCTTCGACTTCCGTCACTGGGAGAATTCAAGCGAACCATGGCTCATGTGGTCTCGGCTACATTATATATGACTGTGAATGTGTATTCTGACGATGAAGCATTCTTTTAATATGTATAGAGCGGTGTCTATCCCCTCAATCCCGATTTCCTCAAAACGAATAGACCAATGCCGTTACGTCATCTATGTCTTCCTGTGCCGAAAATCCTCCGATATGGCTTGTTGGCGACCTCATACAGTTACAGTTATCCGGTAATGCTTCAAGTGATCTGAACGGCCTGAAAAAGAGGTACATAAGATAGTGAGATTTGATAAAACATGCATGGCTTAGGTATGGACTTGGTTTACTAAACGTCATTAAAACATCTATGTATGACAAACCTCAACTTGGTGGCTTACCGTATCATCAGAAAATGAACATAGCGAGGATCGGTCTCAGTAAAAAAACTATCAGGGACTAATATAATTGAAATGAATAAAGGAGAAGAACCAATAAGTATAATTCACGGGATACACAGGTGACTTTCCTACCAGAGTACCACAGGTGAAGCCTCTCGTGTCGTTGTGTGGCTCACCGACCCTATTTGGTGTGCTGGGGTTTTATTGTAGTGTATAACATCACAATAGTGAGACTCGTTTGATCAGTGACCCCAACAGACCGTGTTATCTGATACAACTACGATGGCTCAATATATGGGAATAAAAACATACGCTTATATTTGAAGTTAATACTAGATTTTCAACCATGTTTTCTCCTCTCGAAGTATGTCCCCTGCCGAATGACGGCGCATCAAAAAGCTTTGTTTTGATGCGGATTAAGAAGGGTGCATGTATTTGTGTGATGTAATGACCACCAGATTGTCTAGACATTTAGTATAAGGGTTAGTGATTAAATAGAAATTGGGGTGTTAATCTAACTGTTATATCGTTGATTTGTTCAAGTTGTAACAGTCACACCATAGTCTGATGCACTATAAATACTTAGAATAGAAAGAACTGTTAAAAATAATATCAAATTTGAATATTATCCAATTTGTGATGTAAAAAAGTGTTCGTAGACTAAACAAATAAATATTTGAAAATGTTATTCAAAGTGACTCTAGGCTAATCACACCAATGATAGGACACATGATCAAGGGTGACAAGTTTCAGCACAAATCATTAGTCCAAACCCGTAGCCCACCCAGCTATCGGCTCTTTGAAGTACGGCAACGTCGGTCAATACCTCAGACGCTTACAACACAACCGTATTAGCAAATAATATATTTTAACTCCGAGATCATCACACAAACTGAGGTGTATATGCTGAAGGACTTCAGTTTCAGTGAGTTTCTGGTATTTCATTACCACTGTAGAGAATGTGAAGGCGTACCATTGAACAGAGACTAGAGGAAAAAAGTCACTACAGACTTGATGTTAGCATGTTCAATAAAATTTTACTGTAGCATTAATATATATATCACATTCTTAATCGAGACAATATCACCCTAACGCCTGCATAATGTCAGTACGCAGTAGACGAAAGGGCAACAGTACCTCCCATTATGATTAATGTTCCAATAGAATGTACATATATGTTATTCAAATTGTCGATCATATATCCCTATAACGTTAACGAAACAAAATATTTGTCGTCTTGAATTTATTTTTCAATTTTATATATGGCTATGATAAAAAGTCTGTTTTCTCAAAATTGAATAACGGCACTTTAGAAAAAATCTAGAAATCGAGATTATGACTATTTTGTATTTGTTACGTTGAGTACTTGTTTCTCGGGAGACTATCTAATATTGATTTCAGTTTTGGTCCAATATTTCCCTAGTTAGATGATAAAATACATAAAATTTTAGATTAGGTATATGTCGTTGAATTATAATCCAATAAGCGTATGGCATATACAGTTTATTATATCTTCTGGATGCACTAGGGTAATAAAATGATTTGATAGAACTTGCATAAAAGGCACTTGGCCAATAGTAAATATCCCCAAATCTTCCCAAGATTTATAGTGAAGCATCCCTAGGGTATTAGTTATTTATTGATTGATTTTGGCCTTAAACTAGTGTATGATATGATATTGTATACATGGATTACTACCTTACAAATGTTTTGTTGCAGGCAAATAATTTACTTTCAGTATCATTATCTTTAGCTGTATTTGTAATATATCGTTTGAGACAAGAAGAACATAGACTGTCAGAGTCCGTGTTAAGTCCTAAATAACCACGTGTTGTAGAAATGTTGATTTGATTTCGCTGTCTGCCTCGGTTTTGTAAATGGTTAATTGTGTTCCTGTTTAGGTCGGAAATTGAGTAATTAGTTGTCTTAGCATGTAATTGGTTAATTTACATTGTGTTTCATTTTATGACCCCGTTTTATTTCCTTCTCGCTTACGACAGGTTTCTCATCACTCGGGATTTCTTGGTATCTGTATATTCTATCTTGTCTGTCCGAACGTATGTAACATCATTAAATAGATAAAAATATTAACTATTTATTTACCTGAAGCTGACGTATCAATCGTTTTAACATATATACCACGAACATGTTACAAGTAGAAATAAATATTTGTAATACTTTTTATACGAGGAAGAAGGATGCTGAATTCAGTTCGGATAGAATGAAGTTCCTAAAAATCAAGAAGTGTTTTAACTATCTCAGTGTTTAATAAAACATCCAAAATTCAACAGACATAAAATTTTACAGGGACAGACACTGGAAATTTAAAATAACGAACTTTCATTTTTTATTCCTTCCTAACAGATATCTACTGCCATGGGAATGGCTCTCGTTTAACAGTGTCCTGGTAAATAACTTGGAAAGACTTATCCGTCTGGATCTCCGTATTCTTGAACTCGTCTGGATGTTTCAGAGTGTCAGTGTATAGGCATACCATGATGAATTTATAATCTGTTAAATTTTTATGGTATAATCCGATCATATTCCAATACACAGAATTTGTTTCATTTGACATCAAGTAATTCTGACTGGTTCTAATTTAATAATTTAGAATAAGTAAATTAACTAAATTTCAAGAAATCTTAATTAGCTGATTGGGAATAGCCGTAAATATCAAAATAGGTAAATAGGTAATATCTTAACCAAAAAAACATCGATAACAATATCATAATTTAATATAATTATATTTCATAATGATAAACACGGACTGGAAAAATATATTCGACAGAAACGGTAATGAAAAGTAATAGGTATGTCATTATACAGTTGAATCTTTAAACCTGTGTTTTCAGAGAGGACTCGCTGTAATACCAGATACCAGAAATACCACAACAGACGTTACAATGACGTATCTGATTCCACATAACTGCACACAAGTATGGGGAAAGACGCTATTTCCGTATTTATGTGTTTTATTAAATTTAAGCCACTAATTAGCAAAAAGTGCAACCCAATTATAAGATACTACAGCAAAAGTTTCCTTTAATTAAACATGGTATTAGGTCGTTAATTGAAAGGATTATAACAAGATCACCCTCCTGCACATGCGGTAGATGTTTTGTATTTTACAGACATCAAAATACAGTATAATACATGTTTTCCCACCTCAGTTTATGTGTCTGTATTCTCCATGAATACCGACATATTACGTCTTTCTAATCACTACTTTACAAGTATCGTGCCTTGTCATTAAGTCACCTGGCTATCACTAAATGGACTTCCGGACGAGCCTTGACGAATTTAAAAACTGACATAAATTGCCCAACATATCTTAATATTTTTTTTTGTATTTTGACATATCTATGTATTATTCACGAATCAGGGTGGGTGGTTAGAAGCTAGATATTATTACATAGCAGGGTAAGATGGTAGAGGCATGTGTCGAGGTGAGTTATCGAGTCTTCACGTGTCGGTGTGAGTTGTTAAAGACTAAATTATTATTACGTGTCGGTATGAGTGGTTAGAGACTATTATTATTATGTGTCGGTATGAGTGGTTAGAGACTATTATTATTATGTGTCGTTGTGAGTGGTTAGAGAGTATTATTATCATGTGTCGTTGTGAGTGGTTAGAGAGTATTATTATTATGTGTCGGTGTGAATGGTTAGAGACTATATTATTATTATGTGTCAGTGTGAGTGGTTAGAGACTATATTATTATCATATGTCGGTGTGAGTGGTTAGAGACTATTATTGTTACGTGTCGGTGTGAATGGTTAGAGACTATATTATTATTATGTGTCAGTGTGAGTGGTTAGAGACTATATTATTATCATATGTCGGTGTGAGTGGTTAGAGACTATTATTGTTACGTGTCGGTGTGAATGGTTAGAGACTGTATTATTATTATGTGTCAGTGTGAGTGGTTAGAGACTATATTATTATTATGTGTCGGTGTGAGTGGTTAGAGACTGTATTATTATTATGTGTCAGTGTGAGTGGTTAGAGACTATATTATTATTATGTGTCGGTGTGAGTGGTTA